TGTCTGTCATGGATGCTTTAGCTGAGATTCCTGCATTGCAGGGGGTTGGACTAGATGACCCTCGGGTCCCTTCCAACTGTACAAGTCTGTGATTCTATGACAGGACAGCCACAGGATAGATATGGATCGTGGAGCAACACCATTTTAAAAACCGGGATGAGAAAAGAAACAAGAAACACGAGCTGCAGATCAGGGTTTTGTTTGTTATTTGAACCCCAAAGGGAGCACAGCAATCCCCCCCTTTCCCCCCCCCCTTTTGTTACAGGAGGCGTTTGGCTGACATCCTTTCAAGAGTCAGGTCCAAGCTAATGCGAAAAAGAGGGGAAAGCCTGCAGCCAGAAGCAAGACGACGGTGGGTGGATTTTCAGGGCAGTGAGTTACAGCTTGGGTGTTACAGAAGCCAGGCATTTTTTTTTATTTTATTATTATTATTATTATTAATACCCCACCCATCTGGCTGGGCTTCCTCAGCCACTCTGGGCGGCTTCCAACCAAATATTAAAATACAGTGGTACCTCAGGTTACATACGCTTCAGGTTACAGACTCCGCTAACCCAGAAACAGTGCTTCAGGTTAAGAACTTTGCTTCAGGATGAGAACAGAAATCGTGCTCTGGCGGCGCGGCAGCAGCAGGAGGCCCCATTGGCTAAAGTGGTGCTTCAGGTTAAGAACAGTTTCAGGTTAAGTACAGACCTCCGGAACGAATTAAGTGCTTAACCCAAGGTACCACTGTACAGTAATGCATCAAACATTAAAAGCTTCCCTAAACAGGGCTGCCTTCCACCTAGGACCTTCTGCATTCAAAGCATGTGTCCTTCTCTCTAAAACGACCATCAGAGGCCCCCGCAGGAGGGTCTATTGCACCAGCCTCAGGTTCCCAAACCCTTCCTGTCTTGCTCGGTTGTCTTGCGGGTATTTTCCCCAAGCTCTTCCATGCAATAATATGGCAAAGACATGTGGGAGCTGCGTCTTGCCATTTGCACCACTCCTTTGCCTCCAACCCACCCTGCGTCTGAATAAGCTGCATGGCACAGACTACACTCCCAGGCAAGAACAGATTCTGGCGGAAATCTCCGTCCTACGCATGGAAGTCCCACTGGGCTCAAGGGGGGTTGCCTCCAGCATCCCCTGTGCTTAGGGCTATGGCCACAAGGAGATTCTTGCTGCCAAGATTTTGGTTTCTATTCGAGGAGCAGCAAGAGATGCCCTTTGGCCAAAGAAGCCCTTCACACCCACTTCCTCTTACCCAGGCGTCTGGTTTGAGGCTCGCAACCCCACGCAACTGCCAAATCAGCAAAAGAAAAAAGCAAGAAAAGGAAAATAGCTGTGGCTGGATTCAGCTAATCAGCCGGTGGCCTTCGGCAGAAAAGCCCAGTGGCGAGGATTCTGGGAAGCCCCCCAAACTGTGCTGGGGCAAACAGAGTAGGCCATCGGCCAGCAGGGCAGATCAGGAGCTCCAAGTGGCCCAGAGAGGATAGGAAAGACTCTCAGCAGAGGCTCCCGTCAGCATTTTCAGGAGGGATTCAAATGCATGCTGGGAAATTTAGGCCCGCCAGGGTTAAAACACTCTTGTCACCTCAGCACAACAAATCCACTTCCTGAGACTAGGAAAATGCAGTGAGAAGTGTGGGGTGAACAAATGAGAAACAGGAAATTGTATAAACGCCCAACAAGCAAACCAGAGCAAACGGGGACAAATGTTTATTGCCATTTTTTTTTAAGAATGAATGCTCCCTAAAGACAGGATGTTGTACAATCTCCACATAAGATTTGTGCAAGCAAATCAGGTAAAGGGACCCCTGACCGTTAGGTCCAGCGTGACCGACTCTGGGGTTGTGGCGCTCATCTCACTTTATTGGCCGAGGGAGCTGGCGTACAGCTTCCAGGTCATGTGGCCAGCATGACTAAGCCGCTTCTGGCGAACCAGAGCAGCGCACGGAAACGCCGTTTACCTTCCCACCAGAGCGGTATCTATTTATCTACTTGCACTTTGACGTGCTTTTGAACTGCTAGGTTGGCAGGAGCTGGGACTGAACAATGGGCGCTCATCCCATTGCGGGGATTCGAACCGCCGACCTTCTGATCGGCAAGCCCTAGGCTCTGTGGTTTAACCCACAGCGCGACCCATGTCCCACGCAAATCAGAACAAATGCTTAATAAATAGGTAGCCTGGAGGAATCCAGTGTTCACAATATTATGCTAAGGTAAAGGGTAAAGGTAAAGGTACCCCTGCCCATACAGGCCAGTCTTGACAGACTCTAGGGTTGTGCGCCCATCTCACTTAAGAGGCCGGGGGCCAGCGCTGTCCGGAGACACTTCCGGGTCACGTGGCCAGCGTGACGAAGCTGCTCTGGCGAGCCGGCACCAGCGCAGCATATGGAAACGCCGTTTACCTTCCCGCTATAAAGCGGTACCTATTTATCTACTTGCACTTAAGGGTGCTTTCGAACTGCTATGTGGGACGGGAGCTCACCCCGCCGCAGGGATTCGAACTGCCGACCATGCGATCGGCAAGTCCTAGGCACTGAGGTTTTACCCACAGCGCCACCCGCGTCCCCATATATTATGCTAAATAGACCGACAAAGATGTCATTGGGCGATAGAACCTGTGACCTGCAAGGCAGATGCTCAAAGGGCTGAGCTGTGGTCCTTTCTTGGTTCACCCTCCACAGCTCTGAGTGGCTTGCAGTACAGTACTGCCCGTCATCTGTGGTGCCAAAGAACAAGGGGACCTTCCAAACATCTCCTCTCCCGAAATGCTTAACCGATCTCCACATGGCCCACCCATTTCCACTGCAAGAAGTGATGCTACAGGGAACCATGCAGAGGGCCTTCTTGGTAGTGGCGCCCACCCTGTGGAACGCCCTCCCGTCAGATGTCAAGGAGATAAATAACTATACGACTTATACAAGACATCTGAAGGCAGCCTTGTATAGGGTTGTTTTTAATGTTTGATGTTTATTGTGCTTTTATGCAATGACAAACCTAGACAGCATCTTAAAAAGCAGAGACATCACCTTGCCAACAAAGGTCCGTATAGTTAAAGCTATGGTTTTCCCAGTAGTGATGTATGGAAGTGAGAGCTGGACCATAAAGAAGGCTGGTCGCCGAAGAATGGATGCTTTTGAATTATGGTGCTGGAGGAGACTCTTGAGAGTCCCATGGACTGCAAGAAGATCAAACATCTCCATTCTGAAGGAAATCAGCCTTGAGTGCTCACTGGAAGGACAGATCCTGAAGCTGAGGCTCCAAGACTTTGGCCACCTCATGAGAAGAGAAGACTCCCTGGAAAAGACCCTGATGTTGGGAAAGATGGAGGGCACAAGGACAAGGGGACGACAGAGGACGAGATGGTTGGACAGTGTTCTCGAAGCTACCAGCATGAGTTTGAGCAAACTGCGGGAGGTAGTGGAGGACAGAGGTGCCTGGCGTGCTCTGGTCCAGGGGGTCACAAAGAGTCGGACACGACTAAACGACTAAACAACAACAACATGCTTTTATACTCGTTGAAAGCTGCCCAGAGTGGCTGGGGCAAACCCAGATGGGCAGGGTGCAAATAATAAAATTATTAATACTATTACAGTGGTACCTCAGGTTAAGTACTTAATTCGTTCTAGAGGTCAGTTCTTAACCTGAAATGGTTCTTAACCTGGCACACCACTTTAGATAATGGGGCCTCCCGCTGCTGCCGCACCACCGGAGCACGATTTCTGTTCTCATCCTGAAGCAAAGTTCTTAACCCGAGGCACTATTTCTGGGTTAGCAGAGTCTGTAACCTAAAGCGTATGTAACCCGAGGTACCACTGTATTAAAAGCTCCTGCCTCTTTGCAGAGGAGGGCATTTCACCAAGTGCTATAGCTTCTCGCACAAGCGACACCTGCTGAGATGCGTCTGGCCACCCTACCGCTTGGCCTACCTTACAGGGGTGTTGTAAGGGTTACCGAGAGAACGAAGGTGAAGCACTCTGGACCCTTGAAACAGGTCGGCGTTGTTTTCGTGAGCGGCAAGCGACGGAGACACACTCGCACATGCACGCACGCACACTGCCCAATTGGCATTTGGCAAGGCTTGCAGGGCCCGTTCCCACGCTTGGAGGAAAAACCCCTCCCCAGCCGAGCCATCGGGAACCAGCCACTCGCATAGAAAAGGGAACAAAAGAAGCTGGAGGCTGGGGACAAGAGGGGCTTTGAGAGAGGGGGACACCCAAGACAATGAACAAGGACGTGAGGGAAGGGGGGAAAGGGGCACGCTCACGAAGGCAAGGCTGAATGGAGGGCGAGAATAGGGGTCCCCCTCCTGCATTCACTGCCCTTCCCTCCTGCCCCCTGCTCTTCAATAACGCCAGAGAGGGACTGGCTTGCGGGGAGAACCAGGGCTCTCTCTTTGCAGCCAGCGGAACGGAGAGAAAAATAAAGGACGGGGGATTTTTTGGCTCAGCCACCCAGATGCAGAAAAAGGAGAAGCAAACAAAAGCTCGATCGGAGCCTCATCAGCTAGGCCCTGAAACTGTTTTCAACACCTTGGTCCAGAGCCAGGGAAGGCGAGGAAGGAGCTATGGAGCCTGTGCAGAGTATGCTTCTTCACATAGAGAGCGACACAGATGTCGGGAATTAGGGCTCCCAGCACCAAGAAGATTAAACTCCGCTTGGAAAGGCAAATGGAAAGCCGCAAAACAAAGCCATGGATCGAGAAGGAAGAAAGCCACAGATGGGTTTTGAAAGCTCTGGTCCCATGGAGGAGATTGAGGGGACCAGTCCCAAACACCCAATGTGTATTTCTCCGGACAGTTGACCTCCCGGACAGCACATGGCTTCCCCTGAAAAGTTCTGCGAACTGTAGTTTGCCCCATGGAACTACCACACCCAGCATCCTCAACAAACTACAGTTCCCAGGATTTAATTTGCTTTGGACGTATGGGACGGATGTGATCACGTGACTTCTTTTTGTAATGGTAGTTTTCTGAGCAGAGGAATCAGACATGATCCACTGTGCGACTCACCTCTCAAGGCCAGGGTGGAAGGCGTCCGGGCCTGCGGGTCGTTCAAGGAGTTGAGGGGGGCGCTGTCTTGCAGCCAGATCACCCGCACTGGTTCTGGAGGGCCCTGAGCCCTGCAGCTGAGGTTGAAGGGGGTGTTGACTGTGACCTCTAGATCCTGGGGCTCTTCAGTGAAAAAGGGGAGACCTGGACACAAAAGGGGGGAGCAAGAAGGAATAGACTCAGCAAGCGGACACAGAAGGCTCCCTTGTGATGCGTAAATGCGAGGTTCTTCGAAGTGGAATCGAAGCAAACGTCAGTTCGGGTTTCCCCCAGATTGCTGTTTGTGCCAATTCAGCTTTGAAGAGTGGCTTTTCGTCCCTGATGGAGCTGTAATTTTTATTTTTGTTATTTTACGTACAAGTTATTACCATTATCTCAAGTGGGTTTTTTATATATACTTATGTTTCAAAGTGTTTCAGAAAGGAAATCGAACAAAATTAAATACTGTCTATAAAGTAATACAGGTAAAGATCCATAAAACATCAAAATCAATTAAACAGGATTCTGCTCACTCAATATAATTCGCTCAAGATTCCATGACTGCTAACACACCTGTGTTATTTATTTTGATTTATTAGTTTTATATACTGCTCTTCATCCAAAGATATGAAGAGGATTCACAGGGTAAAAACACAAGGTAAAAAAACCACAAGTAAATAGTTGAAACCAAAACAACAAAACAATACCCCCCCTCCCACAAACACATATAAAAGGCTGTAGAATATTAATCAGCCAAAGGCCTGGTTGAAAAGGAATGCTTTTGCCGGGTGCCTACAGGCATATAATGAAAGTGCCAGGCGAGCCTCCCTGGGGAGAGCAATCTACAGACAGGGAGCCACCCCGGAAAAGGCCCCGTTCTTGTGTTGCTGCCCTCTGGACCTCTCGTGGAGGAGGCACACAAAGAAGGGCCTCAGATGATGAGTGCATTGTCCGGGTTGGTGTATATTGAGGTATTGTGGTCCTGAGCCATTTAAGGCTTTATAGGCCACCAGCATTTTGAATTGGGCCCAGAAACTAATTGGCGGCTTGGGACATATTCAGTCTACAATCAGGCACAGCCACAGGCTCCCTCCCTCTCAGCAATCACAGATCCCAACAATCCACAAACTACAGCACTGGCAGGCTTCCGCTGTGACGCTCAAACCCAGTCTTATCTAGGGCTCCTCCAACCGCAGTAGAAACCCCACACAGGTCACCCAAACACTCGCACAAGGTCATCATCTATGGCTAAGGAACCAAGGTCTCACCCTAGACAAAACATCTTCCATTTATATTTACAGTACTTGTTGCATCTGCGTTCTTCAAAGCTTTCACATTGGGAAAGTTTTGAAAGAAAGAGAAGCTGGCTGCAAAGCCAGTTAGGGCTCCAGCGCCTCTTTTCTCTGTCACCACCCTCCTTCTTCGACTCTGTGATGAACACTTGTGTAAGATCCTCTCGGTGTGATCTGGTGTGTGCACATCACACTCAGACAAACAGCGTTTACCTTCCAGCTTCAGGTAGGCTTCATCAGAGAGGACTTCAGATCCGTTCACTGAGGCCGCACACTGGTAGTTCCCCATGTCCGAGAGCTGAACAGAAGGGATGCTGTCAGGGAAGAGGAGAACAGCAACACAGGGAGTTAATTTGGCTTCTCAGTGCCTTCAAATTCACTCCTGTTCTGAGGAGAGAGAGCAGGGTTGTGGGATCCCTCCTTAAACAAGAGCATCTAGAGCAGTGACCAGAGGAGGAATGACCGCCAGGAGGAGCTCAGAGAGAAGAAACACCGTTGGTGCATCAATCGGACACGGCTTCATCTGCCCCGGCTGCAACAAAACATGTCTCACTCGTATCGGTCTCTACAGCCACAGCAGGTCCCATAGCATGACTGGCTCACGCCAGTCAGATGCCAACAACCTCTACTCCTGATCTGGACCACTTGCTCAGGCGAATACTACCAGGCTAGGCTCCAGGCCTGTTCATGAGAACATGAAAAGAGCCCTGCTGGGTAGGAACACAGGAAGTTGCCTTATACCAGGTCTGACCATTGGTCCATCTGCCTTGTCTGCATGGACTGGGAGTGGCTCTCCAGGGTTTCAACCCGACCTGGAGACATCAGGATTGAACCTGGGACCATCTGCATGCAAAAAATGTTCTGCCTTCCCCTCAGGATCAGTCTGAAAGTTCATCTAGACTAAGGTTACCAGACGTCCCCGTTTCCCGGGGACAGTCCCCGGATTCACAAATCTGTCCCTGGACAAAATCAGTCCCCGGATTTTTATTTTAAGTGTTGTAGATTTATTAGTAGGGAATAAATGTTACACAAGACACATCATATGGGGACTTCTGGCGAGGCAAAATGGCGGGCAGCGAGTAGTTCCTGAAGCCATCCAGAGCCAACAGCGCTATCAGGCTGGCTCCCGGCTGCTGAGACTGCCACTGCCACTACCAAGGGGGAACTGGGGACGCCCAGCGTGTCAACTGGGGGAACCACTGACACCCCACCCCCGCAACCCAAATTGAGCCAGGCGCGAGAGCGCCTGGCCACCCGGCCGACTGCCCAATGGCGCTCCGGGGCCAGGAAAACCCCAGAGCTGACACAGAGAGAAGGAGGAGAGGAGAAGGAGAAGGAAGAGAGAGAAAGAGGAAGAGGAAGAAGAAAAAAAGAGGGGAGCTTCAACCTTGCCATGCCGCTGAAAAGGAGAAGTAGGAGAGCACCAGGAGGGCAAGGACATGTGGCCAAACCCAGGCCTGACCTGAGCCTACTCCATGGCGGCTAGCTCTCCAAGAGAGCAGGCCAGGGTCCAGAGGAAGGCCGCGCGACAGAGGAGACCACAGACATAGTAAAAGATCCATCGCATCCTGGTCACTGTCTCTTCGAGCTTCTGCCGTCGGGACGGAGATACAGGACGATGAAGACAAGAACGAGCCGTCTTAAGAACAGCTTCTTCTCCAGAGCGATCTCGGCCCTGAATGGGAAGCCTGGACTTTGAAAGTCATCTAATCTTCCTTGCTGTATTATACTGTATTGTTTTAATTAGTGTTTTTATAGTTGTTTTGATTTTGTGTGGAGTACCCTACCTGGGTGGATGGAGCAGCCAAGTAATTTTGTTGTCCCCAAGAGGGGGCAATGACAATAAAGATATTATTATTATTATTATTATTATTATTATTATTATTATTATTAGAATATAGTACTTCTTCATTATTATTTTTTAAAATACCGTATTTTTTGCTCTATAACACTCACTTTTTCCCTCCAAAAAGTAAGGGGAAATGTGTGCGCGTCTTATGGAGCGAATGCAGGCTGCGCAGCTATCCCAGAAGCCAGAACAGCAAGAGGGATCGCTGCTTTCGCTGCGCAGCGATCCCTCTTGCTGTTCTGGCTTCTGGGATTCAGAATATTTTTTTCTTGTTTTCCTCCTCCAAAAACTAGGTGCGTCTTATGGCCTGTAGCGTCTTATAGAGCGAAAAATACGGGTAACTTTTGCTTTAATAACTTTTCTCTTTCTCTCTTTTTTTTAAAGTGTCCTTTTCTTTGAAAAAAATCTGGCAACCTTAATCTAGACCACTCACTCCTGAGCCACCCCTTCTCTTCCAGGGTGCCTCACTCCAGAAGGCTAAGAACAGGGTGTGCGCCCCAAAACCCCCCATTTCCATTAAACACCAGGATACAAAACACACTATGAGTAATACCATTAAAATCCACGGATATAAACTTGGGTCCCATATGCACCGAAAACCTCTTACGACGTTTGAGATATTTGTTAAGAGAATTTGGGCATACACAACCAACATTTTCAACTCAACTTGAATGCCATGGCAGACCTTTCAAATGTCCCCCATTTTCCAGGGTTTACAAAAGCCGCCTGGTTTCTGATTTGATTTCAGAATGCCCTGCTTTCCCTTAAAAGGTAAAGGTACCCCTGCCCGTACGGGCCAGTCTTGACAGACTCTAGGGTTGTGCGCTCATCTCACTCTATAGGCCGGGGGCCAGCGCTGTCCGGAGACACTTCCGGGTCACGTGGCCAGCGTGACAAAGCTGCATCTGGCGAGCCAGCGCAGCACACAGAACGCCGTTTACCTTCCCGCTGGTAAGCGGTCCCTATTTATCTACTTGCACCCGGAGGTGCTTTCGAACTGCTAGGTTGGCAGGCGCTGGGACCGAGCAACGGGAGCGCACCCCGCCGTGGGGATTCGAACCGCCGACCATGTGATCGGCAAGTCCTAGGCACTGAGGTTTTACCCACAGCGCCACCCGCGTCCCTAGACTTTCCCTTAGGATGTCCCTATTTCCATTGGAGAAATGTTGGAGGGTATGCTGTGGCAAATTGTACAGGGGCCCAATATTTCTGATTTTAAATATTGGGGCCCCTACCCCTCCGGGTTAGTGTTTATCGCTGGTTAGGAGTTGTTTGTGTCACTGCAGAAAGGCTGACAACCTCTCTGTTTGTTTATGGGTCATGATTCTTCCCCCTTCCACCCTCAGACTCCTGAATCCAGAAGACCAGCTGCCAGTTTCCTCCTGGACATCACAAGCAGCAGCAGCAGACAAAACAAAGCATCTTACTCTTGTGCTAGTTGTGTGTGTGTGTGTGTGTGTGTGTTTATTCTACAGAGTTCTTTAAACCCTTCTGTTTGTTCCAGCTGAGCATTGTGTCTTTTGCTGTTTATCAAACTCGAGATGAATGTATAAGCTTTTTAGGAAAGGAAAGAAACAAGTTTAAAGAGCCCACGCAGCTAACGAAACAAAGGCAGAGTAAAAAATATATAAAAACCGTGGGAACTCTTGGAGATTCCAGACTGTTGCTATTTTGCGGGTGGAATTCAATCGCGTATGGGCAAATTCAATTTGCACAATAACAGCGAATTTTGCGCTGTTGCACAACAGGCCTGCTTCCCCCAAGAAAAAAAAAATAGGGACTTTATTCAGTATAATCCAGTAATGGATTATCATTACCATTTTGTGAGATGGAGCGTGGGGTTGGGGAGTGGACCACCAGAAAAGGAACCATTATTACTACGACTATTTATTACATTGATATACCCCCTTTATCTTCCAAGGATCTCCAGGTGGTGCAGGTGGTTCTCCCCCCCCCCCATTTCGCCCTCACGACAACCCTGTGAGGTAGGTTAGGCTAAGACAGGGGTCAGCAAACCTTTTCAGCAGGGGGCCAGTCCACTGTCCCTCAGACCTTGTGGGGGGCCAGACTATATTTTTTTTGGGGGGGGGAATGAACGAATTCCTATGCCCCACAAATAACCCAGAGATGCATTTTAAATAAAAGGACACATTCTACTCATGTAAAAATACGCTTTTCCTGGACCATCTATGGGTCGGATTTAGAAGGCAACTGGGCCGGATCCGGACCCCGGGCCTCAGTTTGCCTACCCATGGGCTAAGAGATGGTGACTGACTCCAAGGTCAGTCTCATGCTCTACTGACTGAGCTATCCTTCATGTGCTTAGAAGACACGGGTGCAAGCTGTTTCCCCCGGTTGTGCTCCTTTCCCAGGGAAAACCCACTCTTTAGTGCTAAATTGGAGCAAATGCTAATCCGGCGAAAACCGGAATTGTGGGCTAAAGAGCCCTTTTCCCCCGGGCTATTGGGGGGGGGGCGTAGCAGAGAAGCAGCAGGAGGGTGGATAAGCCCTTAACCTGCCTCTTGGATAATCCAGGACTTCAGACATCCAGTTTGGGCCACGGTCCTGGAAGCTGCCCCTGCTCCTTTCATCCCCATTCAGTTCCTACTTTGCCTGGCCTGCCAGCGGAAAGGGCAATGAAAGAAGCAGAGGAGAAAAGCATCAGAGGAAAGCTGCCAGCCCCTCTCCTCCTCACCAAGTTATGCTGCTTTGGGGTTGAGCAACTGGAAATATTTCCCAATGTGTCTCTCTCTCACACACACACCCCTCAGAGAAAGCCAGCCAGCTCCCCATCTCTCCACAAGGAAGATGGCTCAGCTGTTCACGTGGAGGAAAGCAGGGATGGTGGTTTAAGTCAAACAGGGAACACCCATTACCGTTTCAACTTTCCTCCGCTCCCCCGTGGCACGGTTTCCTCCTGTTGCGCAACTGGCTGACTGGCTGTAGAGCGCAGTTTTGGTTGCCTCGCGTCAAAAAGGATATCGGAATACGGTCAGAGAAGGGCTAGCCAAACAGTCAAGGCAACTTCCACACAGGGAAAGGTTGCAGCGTTTGGGACATTTTAGAGAAAAGGCGAGGGAAAGGTGACAGGATGGAAGTTCATGCAAATATGCCTGGCATCTGTGACAGGTGGCCATTCAACCTCTGCTTAAAAACCTCCCGAGAGAGTCCGTCCCACTGCCAAACCGCTCTTATGGTCAGAAAGCTTTTCCTGATGTTTAGTCGGCTTGTACAGTGGTACCTCGGGTTACATACGCTTCAGGTTACACACTCCACTAACCCAGAAATAGTGCTTCCGGTTAAGAACTTTGCTTCAGGATGAGAACAGAAATCGTGCTCTGGTGGCACGGCGGCAGCAGGAGGCCCCATTAGCTAAAGTGGTGCTTCAGGTTAAGAACAGTTTCAGGTTAACTACTGACCTCCGGAACGAATTAAGTACTTAACCCGAGCTACCACTGTAACTTGAATCCATTGGTTCAAGTCCTACCCTCCAGAGTAGGAGCAAACAAGCTAGTCATACCTCGGGTTGAAGCAACTTTGGGATAAGTATTTTCGGGTTGCGCGCTGCGGCGACCTGGAAGTAACGGAGCGCATTACTTCCGGGTTTCGTCGCTTGCGCATGCGCAGACGGTCAAAATGACGTCACGTGCATGCGCAGAAGCAACGAATCGCTTCTGGGTGCGAACGGGGCTCCGGAACAGATCCCATTTGCATCCAGAGGTACCACTGTAGTTCCATCTTCCCCGTGACAGCCCCTTAGTTTAGACATTTGAAGATCTCATATCTCCTCTCGGTCTCCTCTTCTCCAGGCTAAACACACCCAACTCCCTCGACTGTTCCTCATAAGGCTTGGTTTCCAGACCCTTGGCCATCTTGGTCACCCTCCTCTGCCCACTTTCCAGCTTGTCAACATCCTTCTTAAACTGTGGTGCCCAGAACTGGACATAGGACTCCAGGCGTGGCCTGACCAAGGCAGAACAGAGCAGGACTATGACTTCCCTTGATCACTAGACTTCTGCTAATGAAGCCTAGATCAGCACTGGCTTCTTTGTTTTGCTGCTGCTGCATCACACTATTGACTCAATGTGTCAACAGCTTCTCAATGTGTATTGTATTGTTTTATGTACTGTGGCTTGCCATTGTTTTATTGATTATAGGTAAAGGTAAAGGTACCCCTGCCCGTACGGGCCAGTCTTGACAGACTCTAGGGTTGTGCGCCCATCTCACTCAAGAGGCCGGGGGCCAGCGCTGTCCGGAGACACTTCCAGGTCACGTGGCCAGCGTGACATCGCTGCTCTGGCGAGCCAGAGCCGCACACGGAAACGCTGTTTACCTTCCCGCTAGTAAGCGGTCCCTATTTATCTACTTGCACCCGGGAGTGCTTTCGAACTGCTAGGTTGGCAGGCGCTGGGACCGAACAACGGGAGCGCACCCCGCAGAGGGGATTCGAACCACCGACCTTTCGATCGGCAAGCCCTAGGCGCTGAGGCTTTTACCCACAGCGCCACCCGCGTCCCTTTTTTTTTATTGATTATAGTTTGGATATTATTTACAGTGGTACCTCGGGTTACATACGCTTCAGGTTACATATGCTTCAGGTTACAGACTCCGCTAACCCAGAAATAGTGCCTCGGGTTAAGAACTTTGCTTCAGGATGAGAACAGAAATTGTGCAGCGGCAGCGGGAGGCCCCATTAGCTAGAGTGGTGCTTCAGGTTAAGAACAGTTTCAGGTTAAGTACAGACCTCCAGAACGAATTAAGTTCTTAACCAGAGGTACCACTGTATTGTAACTGTTGAGTGGATTTCTGATTAACTTTTATATGTTGGTATTGTCATTTTATACTATTATAACGATTGTTGAATGTTACTTTTTTGATGTAGGTTGCCTATTTCAAAGTTATGTTTTATTATTACATTTTTGTATTGTATTAGATTGTTATAAGATGTACATTTTTTGTTTCTTCAGCTTGTAAACCGCCTTGAGTATTGTAAGATAGAAAGACTGTACAGTGGTGTCCCGCAAGACGAAAAGAATCCATTCTGCGAGTCTCTTCGTTTAGCGGTTTTTTCGTCTTGCGAAGCAAGCCCATTGACGGATTAGCGGATTAACGCTATTAGCGGCTTTTAGCGGCTTATTGGCTTAGCGGATAAGCGGCTTAGCGGCTTAGAAAAAGGGGGGGGAACCTGCAGGAACTCGCAAGACATTTTCGTCTTGCGAAGCAAGCCCATAGGAAATTCGTTTTGCGAAGCACCTCCAAAACGGAAAACCCTTTCGTCTAGCGAGTTTTCCGTCTTGCGAGGCATTCGTTTTGCGGGGCACCACTGTATACAAATTAAAAATGATGATGATGATGACTCGTGCTGAGCTTGCGGTCCGCTAACACTGCTAGATCTTTCCAACGCTGAGCCCGCCAGCCCACCTACTGTGGGATGCAAGGTGCTCACCTCAATTCGCTGGTGGTCATCCATTCTTCATCATCCAAGGGAAACTGCATCTGGTTACTGTCGGCCAAGTCCAGGGCAGCTCCGTCCCGCAGCCAAGTGATCTCAGGTGGCTCACCAAGGGAAAGGGCGGAGCACGAAAGCTTGATGTCCTTGCCCAAGGAAGATGTCAGGTTCGAAGGGCTCTCTTGGAAGAACACGGCTGGAGGAGAGAAAGAGATTGCGTTGGAGCACCTGAATAGCATCGTGCAGAGGGAAAATGAGACATAGGGATGGGTCTAGGATAGAAACAGCGATGGGAGTCTAGCCAATGGACTGAATAAGTGCCTCTTTAATAAGTACAGTGGTAGCTCGGGTTACATATGCTTCAGGTTACATACGCTTCAGGTTACAGACTCCGCTAACCCAGAAATAGTACCTCGGGTTAAGAACTTTGCTTCAGGATGAGAACAGAAATCGTGCTCCGGCGGTGCGGCAGCAGCAGGAGGCCCCATTAGCTAAAGTGGTGCTTCAGGTTAAGAACAGTTTCAGGTTAAGACCGGACCTCCGGAACGAATTAAGTACGTAACCAGAGGTACCACTGTACATACAGTCATACCTCGGGTTACAGACGCTTCAGGTTGCGTTTTTTTCAGGTTACAGATGCGCCGAAACCTGGAAGTACCGGAACTGTATATTTCAATGGCTGTGCTTTGGCATCGCAGAGCGGTTCAGTGGGGTCTGAGCTCTGGGTCAAATTAGGCTATGAATATTATTTAAAGGGATGGCCAGTGACCAGGAAAAAAAATGAGAACTCAAGCCAGCTCTACTGCCAGTAGCATGAGTCTGGGTTGCAGGAATCAACAAGAAAGGTTGTTAAGCCTGGAGACTGATTGATTGATTAACTAACACACATACATATCTCGCTTAATATTTTTAAACTCTTATCCATTTGCCACCTGCTATCGTCTGTGGCAGATCATCTGACTGCTTCAAGGAGCAGGAGCAGCTAGTTTTAAAAGTTGGCAACCCTTTAGCATCACTTTCCTTCTTCTTTTTTCCTTTTTGCAAATCTTGTCTTCTGTGATGTGCCAATTTGGGGCAGTGGGAGGGAACAGTGACGTTCAGATCTGGCTGGCCAGGCCGGCTGCGGACGATGACTCTCCTCGCCTCTCCGTCACCAGCTGCCAAGGGATAGCAGCTGCACCAGCCCCACCCGCTTAATGACGGTTCTTATAATTCCCCGGTCCATCGAAAAATACCCACCCAAGCCCTAGTGTGGGCCAGGGTAGAGCCGCAAACACTCTGCAAGCTTAGAGGCCTGGAGGGTGGGGGTGGGGGTTCTTCTGGTCTTAGTAGCAGTCTGCTAAAACCCCTTATTAGCTTTTTACAGTAAAGCTTCACCGGTTGGACTTCTGCCATAGCGGCAGAAATTCAACAGGTGAAGCTTCTCTTCCCAAATCTCCAGTCAATTCAACAGAACAGATTTAAACTCCCTGATTACTTTCAAATCTCCTGGATATACTAAGGCAGCTGCATGGAAAAAAAGGAAAGGGCGGAGGAAGAATAGCGCTCCTACACCTTTAATATTTGTGTAGGCGATTTCAGCAGGTGTGCTATAACTTGCTTGACAAGCTACACCTGTTGAAATCCCCTCCATAAATATTAAAGTTGTAGAAAACTTACCCTTCCCTTGCCTAGGACCACCCCAGTTATCTATTTGTTGCGGTTATATTTTTCTTAGGCCTTTATTATCCCCCCAAACCCATAAAGTAAACCAGATACGTTTCTTGTTGGCAGGAATACATGGGTTTTTAAAAAAAAATCAAAACATTTCTACCCCACCCTTCTAGCGCAAAAAAAAACCCCTCCCAGGGGAGCGTGCAGCATTTCAAATGGCGATTTCAGAGACACAGCGACAATAAAGCACATTGGCTAAGGGTCAGCGGTTGAAACCAAGCACACAAAAAAAATCAAAGATTTGCCGGAATAAAACGAATTCACTCTGCCCCCAGTTTGATTAAACTGGCGCGGGGAGAGCTAAGCCACCCACATGCAGCCGAACTGAACCAATACTATGCACCGAGAGGAATGCTGCAAATAAACAGATTTATGGGGCAGCAATCCTGTCGATGCCAGGAAAAACTCTTATATTTTTCTCTATCGTGAAGCAACAACTAACATTGTGGGAGCCTTGAATGGTGGGGGGCAGGACTCCCTCATCCAATTCCAGTTTCACTGCCTCCTTTTCCCTCACTGTCTGGGAAGTGAAAGGAAGGGAAATCACTCTGCCCGCCATTTCAATGACAGTTTAAGGGGTTGCAATCTCCAGGTCAAGAGCCCTTTGGAGTTTTTGGGCAGCAAGGACACCATCTTTAATCTCTTGTTTCTATTCCATTTCTCCCACCATTCCTCTGAGGATAAAGGGACTCCAGACCATTAGGTCTAGTCGTGGTCGACTCTCAGGGTTGCGGCGCTCATCTCGCTTTACTGGCCAAGGGAGCCTGTGTACAGCTTTCAGGTCATGTGGCCAGCATGACTAAGCCGCTTCTGGCGAACCAGAGCAGCGCACGGAAACGCCGTTTACCTTCCCACCGGAGCGGTACCTATTTATCTACTTGCACTTTGAGGTGCTTTCGAACTGCTAGGTTGGCAGGAGCAGGGACCGAGCAACGGGAGCTCACTCTGTCGCGGGGATTCGAACCGCCGACCTTCTGATCGGCAAGTCCTAGGCTCTGTGGTTTAACCCACAGCGCCACCCACGTCCCCCTCTGAGGATACCGGCATATATATATATCCTCTTAGTCCCAAAACCAGGATGCACGTCTTCCTAAGCATGTTCCCCATGTGAGATCACGGAACCCCCCAAAAAACATGCTTTCACGGTGCCCCAAAATGCAATCGTGTGAGATCACAGCGCCCCAAATGGTTGTTGTGCAGGACAAAACGGCATGTCCCGTGTTTTTTTTTCTGAGACATTTGTGGGGTATGAATACATGGGGCCACCCCACACCAATTTTTGCAGTGTCAGATTAGGTAAAGAGGGATTTGCTTCGGCAAGGCCTAAACCGGTTGTTGCCATGGCAAAAACAGGTTTTCCCCTGTTAACGGAGAAATCTGAGGGCTCCCTTGGCCAAAAAACAAGGACACCAGCCAGGAATACCAGAGCAAAACAGCAGCCAGTAGGCTTGGTCTTTGTTGAAGACTGTCGCGACAGGACTCCCACCTGCCACCAGGTGAAACAAGATGGAAGCCCTGAACAAGAGAGAACCCAAACTTTTATTAGCTGCTCATCCCCATGTTACACCCCCCCCAACTACATCACTAATACATCATTGTTACATCATGAAAGGGGAGGTCTGGTGGCAGAAATCTGAGCATCCTGGACCCTGCCCCATGGTTCCCCTTGCCCTCCACCAAACACCCATCAAGTGAAGCAAAAGAGATATTTACATTTCCCTGTTTCCCAGCCAAGTTAATCACACCCTTTTGTCTTCATCTGGGTTTGTTATTTCTGGAATGGCTACCTGTCTGGCACTCAGGTATCAGGATGCCAGGAATTATCACTCAGGCAGAGGGGCTGCTGAGCAGCTGAGCTCACATGTCTATATGAGTTTCTGCTCTCCCTTCCCCACAGGTGGGCGGGGTTTCCAGCACCGAGGGGCTCACCTGGGCGGGTGTCTCCCACCTGCTTGGCCCAGCCTTTGACCCACCCTTGGCCAGGGAGGACAATGGCCGGCCGGCCAGGGGTGGGGCTAAGGCCAAAGAAAAGAGGCTGACCCCTTTGTCCAAGACTCTTTTGGTTTTCTTCCTTCCAGGATTTTGCTGTGAAGTTTTCCCAGTGAGCCAGTACATAGATACACTTATCAGTGAATTCTTACATTTGGTATTGTGCAGCAGAGACCCTTTGAATAGATAGGAAGAAACTGTGATGTAGTGTTTTGTGGGGACAAATCACAAAAGTCACAAAAGCGATTGTGCTGATTTTGGTAGTGGGCTGCATGTGCATGATATCTGCTGGAGGGGCAACCCCCCAAAAAACCTATATATACCGTATTTTTTGCTCTATAAGACTCACTTTTTCCCTCCTAAAAAGTAAGGGGAAATGTGTGTGCGTCTTATGGAGCGAATGCAGGCTGCGCAGCTATCCCAGAAGCCAGAACAGCAAGAGGGATCACTGCTTTCACTGCGTAGCGATCCCTCTTGCTGTTCTGGCTTCTGAGATTAAGAAATATTTTTTTTCTTGTTTTCCTCCTCCAAAAACTAGGTGCGTCTTGTGCTCTGGTGCGTCTTATAGAGCGAAAAATACGGTAAATTCCTGCAACACCTGCAAGCCTGTTTTGCTGGTGGATGCCAAACTGGGATGAAGAATGGTCAGTGGAGAAGAGGGGAGGGGGGTCTGCTTCACCCTTCCTCCAGCCATATAAACAACCCCCCCCCAAAGCAGCATCACACACCCCAATTCCAGGGATGAAGACAAGAGTATCAGACATAAACTCTGGTAAATGTGAGACAGCACAATAGAGCAGGGATCCCCAAATGTCGTCCACAGACCACCATAAACTTCATAGATAAAACAAGTGCTTTCTTCCCTAAAAAAATGTTTAGGGGTACTCTCATTTTCCTACTCATACTGAAATACTGCCCCCTCAATGATGTCAAACTTAGATTCACAAAATGTTTAGGGTATGCATACCCCTGTGTCCCCCCAGAAAAAAAGCACTGGATAAAATGTTCCTCCATAAACCGATTTGGTCAAACTTCCACGCTAACCAAGCGAGAACATATTCTAATTTCAGAAGGGCCAATCTCCCTCGGCTGCAAAGCAAGGGTGTAGAATCTCTGTGGCGCTTCGAGGTCAAAGAGCGAGAGCGGCACATGGGACATAAAATATACGCCACTAGATGATGCATAATGTGTGCGGAACAGAGGAGGTGGAGCAGCCGGCGCATAAATCCAGTCTGAGAATATCCTGCCCTGCAGCCGCAGTTAACCCTTGAGGAATGAGGGACACATTCCAGGGCCTGAGAAACAAAAGTTGCGTACTTGGAAGAAACCCAGGCCTCACTCTTGAGTCTCATGCTGCTTTCTCTAGGAAGGATGGGGAAGGGAGGGGGGGGGAATCTTCTTCTATGCCAAGAGACCCAAATTGGCTCCTGGTCCAACAGAGAAGCATGCAGTGAAATTCTGGCTACGCCCATGTCCCTCATCCTGGTCGTGTTT